AGGTTAACCATAACATCCATGGATCGAGCATTATCAACAGTCATTGCAAAAGCTTTACCCCGAAGGTTCCATTCCCCAATAAGTTTTAGCACAAATTTTTCTACCTCAACACCAGTATGAGGAGGACCACAATATCTAAAATTCAGAATTTTAGACCTAAGACACCAATTTTTATCAACATAATGTGCCGTTAAAGTAAGATAACCTCGATTAGTGCATGCTGTCCACAAGTCACAAGTAAAGCTAACTCTACCTTCAACTCCAGAAAAAGTTTGCAACAACATCGACTTAAACTTATCATGCTCAACAATACAATGTTTCAAAATAGTGTTTCTACACACATGATTCACGTTGGGATTCAAATTCGTAAAAACTTCCCTAAGGCCATGATGCTCCACAATACTTAAAGGATAGGAATGCAAAATTATAGCTCTAGCAAGCAATTGTAAATGACGAGTTTGATTAAACGGGAGCTCAACACCACTTTCATTATTTCCAGGATGGTGTGGATTTTTACTCATGGTGTTTTATATTCATTACCACAAACATTGCATCGAGCATATTTTATCGGAGCAAGACCAACCATCTTATCAAAAAAGGTGTAATACCTCCAAACATCTGATGTTCGTCCACGCTTACTGCCACTAGTGGTATATTGAGTAGAATCTTGATTCTGAACAGTAGAATCCTCATCAAAACCATTAAACTCTTGCTCCATTACTGGAATAATTTATGGCCTTTACTTGGGATAAAATCCTGGATATATGTCAATTTTCATATGTTTCAGTCAATTAAAAAAAAATAAAAAATGGATTGTAGATTTATTGATCTTTCAAAACTTTGGATGGATACTAAAATAATAAATCATCTTTGATCGTGATAGCTGACTTAGCTAATTTTGAAAGAGAGAATTTTTTTTTTTTTTTTTTTGACAAAGAAAGAGAGAATTTGATTACATTGGTTAGATCTTGGACAACTACTATGTTTGGTAGTTGAATTTGCACTTTATATAACTTCAAATATTGTGAGGCTTACCACTTTTTGCACTCTTATTATGAGTTCCTTCATATCATCTTATGAATGTATCTATTTATTTATCTAATTATTACAAAGTACTCCGTATATTACAAGAGTTGTTCTTTGCTCGGAGTACAAATTAGTTTGCTATGGCTAATAGCCTAATAGCAAACTTTGTTCATACTCTTTAATCTTTATAGAGGAAACAACCCTCTGAGGACTCCTCATTATTGAACATGAATTCGTAAAAAAAGGACTTAACTTTATTACTAGTATTATATTAGTCCCACCATTAAACATTTAAACATGAATTTAACCTTTGTCCGACCCATTCTCCACTTCCGCTCAAGCTAACATAGATTACCTCTATTCAATTTAAGATGATTGATCATGTTTTTCAATGGACCCATTCCTATTACACTAGTCAAAGGTACAATATGATTGATGGAGATGTAGCAATCAACTCACCAGAGGTGGAAAAGGCAATAGAACATGCACAACCAAACGTCTAAATTTGGCACTGAGAGCTTCAAAATCCTTTCAATTGCATACAATAAGTTTGCTTTCAGAGGATGCTGTGAATTTTGTACAATTGGATTGATATACTACAAAAATAGCAACAACAAAAAACAAAAAACAAAATGTCAAGATAACGTCTGAGATAGGAAAGCAGGGGGAAAAGATGAAATTTAATAGATAAAAGGAACAGACATTGGTGTAAACCACTCAAACAGCAAGAATTCAGAAATATATGACCCCCAACCAAGATCCCAAAACAAGACTGCTAACCTCACATAACCATAACCTCACATAACCATAACCTCACATAACCAAAGCCAGCAGTGGAATTCACATCTGAGTTTAAAATGAATGACCATCTGAATAATAGGGTGGTCTTTCTATTTTACATCTGAATTTTACATTTCACTAAGTGGTCTTTCGTTCTAGCTAAGAGTTTCCTAATCTATAAGTCTAAATGCAGCAGAAGATTGTTAAAAATAAAATTCTAACAAGGATCAATCTCACATCTTGTATTATTCACAAATACTTCTTCAGATGATTAAACTTGAGGAAATCTTTAACACATTACTACCAATAAGATTCCAGTAACACCACTAATCTCAGCTATTAAACAATTTTAGAATACAGATAATGTATAAGAAATTAATTAGTGAAAAAATACATGTAATTGATTAATACGAAGTATAGTATATCACAGAATCATATAGCTTGGATGGTATGGTTGTAAAATCGTATAAATTGCTAAAAACAAAAAAAAAAAAAAAAAAAAAAAAAACAGAAAAAAAAATCGGAAACAATCAAAATCATGAACAATCGGAAAAAAAATCGAGATTAGCTTGAGTAAGTATAAATTTACCTTCAACTTAGCTTGAGAGTAGCTAGAGAGAGATTGAAAGAAGGTGTTGAGCTTGGAGATTGGAAGAAAGAACTGGAAGAAAGAACTGGAAGAAAGAAGCTAAGAACGAAAGAAGAAAGAAAGATGGGAAAAAAAAAAAACTTATATATGACGGCTGAGAATCAAGGAAGAGAAGGAAGCTAGGGTTTTTTTCTTATTTTGGGAGGGAAATTCTAACTCAAAATATCTAAATTCTAAATCTAAAATTTGTTTTTCCTTTTGGTTTTTGGAGGGAAATTTCCCACCATTCATATTTTGAAGAAATTGTCAACCAAAAAATAAAATCAATTTTCCACTTTGTAATAATCAAAATTTTTAATTTTTGTTTAACAACATTAAACAAACTTTTATACAATTGATTAATTACATGGTTTCAAAAAAAAAACTAATTACATTTCTCAAATCCCGATAAAACGATATACACCTACATAATATCAGTTTTTAATTTTTTATAAATTTTTTTAACACACACATTAAAATATTAAGTTCTTTAGATTATAAAATGTGAATCAGTTAGCGTGTAAATGTCTAGCGTTGCAATTAATAAAAAAATCGAAGACCGTTTAATAATATAATGACGTCATATCTTAGAGAGCTAGTAATATTACAGATTTGTACGTATAAGCAATACACTTGTAATCGTGTAAACTTATAAATGATATAATTGACTAGTAGATTAGTACATAAATACAAATTACTTAATTAGAAATGTGTTATGACTACATGAGTGATTGACTAATATCGTAATATGACTATATAGTATATAAGCAATTGTCAATTTAGCATAGCTGCATAATAGAATAATAGTGTACTAGACTATCCTACTCGGTAATATACTAATACCATTTCAGTATTTGATATGTTAGACTTAAGTTAAAAGTTAGTCTTTCTTATTAACTTGTTAGTCTAATTAAATAATTACTAATTACTAATTAGTGACTTAAGCCTTAGGGGTAAACCAGTAAAGGATATAGAATCAATATTACCTTCTTCTTCATTAATGTGTTCTTTCATTATATTGTATAAATCAAACTACTTTGTAATATCTTCATATATAACTTTATGCAAATATATAATGATAAACGAGCCTTAATTATCAGTCTTGTTGACTAATTAAGAATCGAATACCAAATTGCAAATTTCGATGTTACAACAACTCATCAAATCATGATTATGACACTGTTAACTAAATGATCAAATCAGAAGCAGATAATAATCTGATAGTAAAACAATAATACATTAATGCACTAAACTTTTATAATCTACTTCGTAATAAACTAGTAAGATCAGTATGGCTAAACTTGAATCATAACATGATATGTATTTATAAAAATAATGAGAATTTGCATATAATATGATGCCTCAATATGAAGTGATGAAGTCTCGGCTTGATATAAAACTTGTTAACTAGCAAAAAGTTAGAAAGTAGTACAAAATTTTTTGAAATCAAAAACAGATCTAGACTCGAACCGTAATTTAGTAAATCTGAAATAAAACCGATCTAAATAATGTTAAATCATAGAAGAACCAAACCCGTGAACGAACCGAACCAGTTATAACCGAACTAAAATAAAACTACACCAAAAAAGAACCGAACCGTTTCCAACCTGAAACTGTTTGAACCGGTATAATCACCATTTACACCGAACCATTAATAAACCGCAACCCGTTTGCACCAAACCGTTTACTACCGGGACTATTTACAACCCGTACCGTTTACAACCCGAACCGAATTTAAACCGAGTTAAAAACCGTTTACACCAACCGTTAACAAACCGCAACCCGTCTGCATCGAACCGTTTACAACCCGGACTGTTTACATCCCGGACCATTTACAACCCGAACCAAATTTAAACCGGGTTAAAAACCGTTTACACCAAACCGTTAACAAACCGCAACCCGTCTGCACCGAACCGTTTACTACCCGGACCGTTTACAACCCGAACCGAATTTAAACCGGGTTAAAGACCGTTTACACCGAACCGTTAACAAACCGCAACCCGTTTGCACCGAACCGTTTACAAACCGAACCGTTTAGAACCCGAACCGAATTTAAACGTTCAAGAATAAACCGAAACCGAACCGAACCGATAATTATTTAAACCGAACCGAAACCGACCCGTTAGACATTTAAACCAATTTCAAACCGACCCGATTTCAAACCGACCCGATTTCAAACCGAACCGATTTCAAACCGAACCGAAACCGAACTGTCAAACCGTTTTGACAGTGCTAGTTAAACCTCTTATGAAATCAGGTAAAATTTAAGTTATTTGACAACCCTTGACTAAACTTACGAAGTTACAATACTTGGAGTAAAACTTAATTAATCACTTAATTAAACCTCACTTTCAAAACTTGTTGCACATGAAAATTCATTCCTTTTACTTCATGCGTGTTCCTCGTTATTTAGAATTTGTATATTCAGAAAAACAAGACTTTGATCTAAAATTTTACTCATAGTTGGGAATGAACCATATAATATACAACACGAAGTAGCAAATGCAACATAATACTCCCTTCTACTCTTCTCTTCACACATACTAGAAATGAAGGTTAAATAATGTAAAAGAAAAGGTATTAAATATATCAATATATGATGTGTAAATTTGTACTATTTCACACAAGGAACTAATCAAAATCACATACAAGTATATATGATTCACACCTCACAAATCTTGAACCAAAGAATTCAACAAAAGCAAAAGAAAGTGACTCTAAAGTTGAACACCTTACACCCACCTCACTTTGCTTTGCTTTGCTTTGCTTCCCACATGAGTATATCAATTTTCACTAGTAATCCCGACCAATTACAAAACGACATATTTATACAAAAACTCGAGATCAATAATTAGAAGGATCCGAAGATTGCATAGCAATGAATATTGAATATTAATCCCGACTACAGTATATTCATCAATCACAACGAGAAAAGTGTAACACTTAAAAAAAACGAGGGGAGTATGAAAACTCGAAATCAGAAAATATCGAGGATCTCGAGAATCCGACGGTTGCAAAGGGACAAGAACCTCGATTAAGCCATAACTCCCTAGAACACACCCTACAATACGTATGACCACATGGTATCAACGCAGCTCCTTTCTTCCTTTCCATGCACACGCAACACACCGTATCACTCCCTTCATTATTTCCCTCCCTTTCTCCACCCTTCGATCTTTCTCTCTCTAAATCACGACCGTCCGTTGTCTCCTCCAGTAATCTCATCAACGACACCCTCAACGGCGTCGTTCCACCATTATTAATATCAACATTATCATCATCATTATTATTATTATTATTATTATTATTATTATTTCGCACGGTCGCACCGTAACTTCCGATACTCTCGGCCGCACGGAATTCTCTCTCCGCGGCCAACGCAGCACCCAAATTCATCCCTCTTTCCGCGGGTCCCACTTGCTGACGTGTCTCAAACTCTACTTGTACGACGCCGTTTTCTTCCTCTGGTGGAGAAGAATTATCATTATTCTCGCACCGCCACGTGGCGACACCGCAACAACCGATGCCGTTTAATCCTAGCCGTTCCCTGAGGACCTTCCAACGGCTGTTATTACTTCCATCTTCTCGTCTCATCGTGCGATCTACACCGTCCATTTTCTCGACGGTGAGAAGATCGAGAAGGGTTCTGATTCTTCTGTGATCAGACGGTTGTTGTGAAGGTGGGTGTAGAAGTAATGGACGGTCTTGATTTGCCGGACTATGAGTTATTGCTGTACTCATCTTCACCTGATTTTATCTACAAATGAATGAGAAGTTTTTGAGAGGAAAGAGTGAAAATATAAATAAGGGTGTTTGTATTTATAGTTGTACAAGGTTTAATTTGATTTGAGAAAAGACGTGTCTACATGTTATACTCGTGAGAAAGAATTTAGTATTCTAAAATAAAATAATCGTCATGAACGTCGATGTTTAAATGGTTAAAGCAAATTCTTGTATTAGACGGTTAAAATGGTTAAAGCAAATTCTTGTATTAGACGGTTAAAGAAAGAAAAACCAAACGATACCTTATGTTTTTGTAAAACTGCTTGCCCTGTTTACTCTCGTGCTTTAATATTGTGATTAACTTGTAACAATGGGAGTAATTTGAGTGATTGAGTCGAGTTGATTTAGGTCTAGTCAGGTATAATTTGAGTTATATTAAATCATAGTGTAGATATTATAATGCTAGTCGAAAATTAAATTGATTTGGTTTCAAACTAAGTCGGATATAATTAAATCGAATCAATTTTTAAGGACTAATGAAACTTTTATTTTTTTTTAAAGTTAGGAAGAATCATAAATTAAGTAGTGAATTACTCTAAAGTGGGACCCAAAAATGGGAGAGAAAGGGGAAGTCAAAAGAAGATGTGGGGGAGAAGGAATTGCCAGCTGATGATAAATTATTGAGATTTGAGACATTGGACAGAGCAAAAGACAAATTAGAAAGAAGAAAAAAGGAATACTAGACCCCAAAAATAAAGAAAAAGAGGGAAAAATAGTGATGGAAAGTTGGAAAAGGTGTAGGACATTGATGGTGGGATATTCGTACAAATTTCGCGCCAGAAATTTGTTTTCAATGCTAACACATAGATCTAAATTGCCACTTTAGGGTTATTTTATGATACACCATTTTTATTATGCTAATCATAGATTAATAATGTACTATACTACCTTGATTTAGTACTATAGGAAGTTCAAGAGACTATAGTAGTTTCCTAATTGTGTATAGCTAGTTTATTATGTAATTAATGTTGTTTAGTTGACTCTCCATATAGTGGGCTGTATAAATACTTCTAACAATAATATCAAAGGTCGGAGGAATTTTACAATTCATTCTTTTCTAGGGAAAATGATAGTGCACGCCGAACAACCTTTTCTTTTCTCGGAAAGTGACCCATTGAACACTTACATTAACAAAGCATTACAACCCCAACATAAAAGAATCTCTAGGAAAACCGTTCGTTCCACTGCCATGAAAAACTTCTTAGAGTACAAAATGCGGTTACAAGACGAATTGAGTAAACTTAATTGTAAAGTGTCTTTGACTGTCGATTCTTGGGATAGTGGTTATAAATATCACTATTTATGTGTGACTTGCGATTGGGTAGATGACCAATGATTTTTACAAAAATGAATAATTCTTTTCAAAATGCTAGAATACCCCCACACCGGTATTAACATTGCTCACCAATTAATGGAAGCACAAATGAATACGACCTTCGAGAAAAAATCATGTCTATGACATTTGACAATGTAACCTCAATGACATATACTATTAATTATGTCAAACAAAACTTGACCAATGTAATATTAAATGGTGACACACTTCATACTAGATGTGTTTGCCATGTTTTTAACTTATGTGTACATGATGGAAATAGAGCAATTGGTCCATACTACAACAAATTTAGAGATGCTATTATTTCTATTAATAGCTCAAACATGAGATACCAAGAATGGAAGAGTTTTCTAAAACAACAAAAGATAAGAGCAATAAAAATCAAAACCGATTGCCCAACTAGGTGGAATTCCACCTATGACATGTTAACCAAGGCAATTGAGTACAAGAATCCGTTGACAATTTTTTACAACCAAAAATTTCCAAACAATGCTATATTTGGGATAATTGTGAACGATATATGCAATTTTTAAAGTTATTATGTAACATGACGTATTGTTTTTCTTCTGTTTATAATCCTTGTGCTCAAACTTTCTTTCAAATGCATGTTTACTCATCCAACTTTTCGCTGATCATCGCAACCAAAGTGATTATGATCAGTATCTTCCAGCAATGGAAACAAAGTGGCGTAAATATTATAGTGAAATTCTTTTGATTTATATTTTTGTTTCCATATTAGATCCTAGGCAAAAGTATGAAAATACATTTATGTTAGTTGACATTTATTTTCAATGCATGCTTCTTGACGATAATGTAGATACCTATAAGAGTAATGTGAAGGATCAGTTTTTTGCTTTATTTAGAGTTTATGAAACCAAATAAGGCACCGTTGCTCGCTCATGCCCTTCCCAACCATCCAAAAACGTAAGTTGAAAGGCCAAAAATTTATTTTCACAAGCTACTAACTTGATTTCAAGGTTTTCAGGTGATTCATCAATAAGGAGAACGCAAAGTGATGTCTCGGAGTTGCAAATGTACCTGAGTTACGACTTGACCAAGGGCATGGACGACGATGAAATAAACGGCCTCGACCTCCTTGCATGGTGGAAACAACAAAGCACGAAGCATCCAGCTTTGGCAGCAATGGCACGAGACATTCTTGGTATACAAGTCTCCTCCGCTACCTCCGAACGAGCTTTCAGCGCATCCAGGAGGGTTTTAGACGATAGAAGAACAATTCTAAAACCCGAAACACTTGAAATGTGCGTGTGTTTCAAAGATTGGTTGGATGCTGAAAATCGCTCACAAGACCGTTCTTACGACGACAACGACAACGATTAAGGAACCTCCGCTTCCGACCGTTCGAGTTCGGCTAGTTCCCAATCTATGCTACTAGCCAATGACCTTGAAGGCGAAGACGAAGACGAAGAAGAATAGACAATTTTTGTATATTGTACGATTTTTATCATTATCAATATTATCATTTTATGATTTTTATCATTATCCAATTTTTGTTTAATATCCTTGTACAATTTTTATCATTATTATCATTGTACAATTTTTTCAAGTAATAATAATATGAAGTATGCATTATTCACATCCAAAGTCCAATTTTCCTTTTTTTCCCGTTAAGTTATAATTTGTAAATTAATATAACAAAAAAAAAATAGAATAATTAATAATACAAAAATAAATATAATAAATTATTAACATTAAACTATAAAGTAATAGTATAAACTAGATATATAAATATAAATATTAAACATAAAAAATAATAAAACATAAATATTAAACTGAATTTATTTTAGAAAAATAATATTATAAGATTATAAGTTATAAACTATTAAAAATTATAAAATAATAATAAATAAAAAAAAAAGCAAAGCAAAGGCAGCAGCCCAGCCCAGCAGGCCAGCACACAGGCCAACCCGGCACAAGCCCGCTCGGCACATGGGCCATGCCGTGGGCTGGCCTGCGATTTTGGGTGGCATGGCACGGCCCGGCACGCCGGAGACCGTGGCCCGCCAGGCACAGCCCGACACGACATCACTACTAGAAAACAGTCAATCAACGACGGAAAAAATCCGTCGGAAAACCCTGAAATTTCGTCGGAAAGCATTGTCGGAAGACCTTTTGTAGGAATTGTGCGATATTCCGTCGGAATAGACCTTTCCGACGGATTTTGTTATGTCGGGCGCTTTTGTTGACTTTAAGTGAAAATCCGTCGGAACCTTCCGACGGAAATTTCCGTCGGTGGGGGAGATGTTCCGACGGAATTGTCCGTCGGAGGCGGGATATTCCGACGGAAAATTCCGTCGAAAAAATAAAAAATAAAAAATAAAAAAAAAACCCCACCCCACCTGCCCAAACCACCCCCACCCACACCAGCGCCACCAGACTACCCCTTACCCACCACAACAACGCCCACCCCACCGCCTGATTACCCCCCTACCCACCCACACCACCACTAGCCCACCCCACCCCCTGTACCCCTAACTACCCCCTACCCACCCACACCAACGCCCACCCCACCCCCTAACCTGTACAGTCCCCCTAACCACCCACAACAGACTACCCCCTTACCCGCCACACCAACGCCTACCCCACCCCCTAACCCGTACAGTCCCCCTAACCACCCTCACCAGACTACCCCCTTACCCACCACACCACGCCCACCCCACCCCCTAATCCGTACAGTCCCCCTAACTACCCCCACCAGACTACCCCACAACCCGCACCACCCCACAACCACCTACCACCACTCACCAAAAACTCGAAACCACCAGATCTACAAAACACCCCATAAACACCTTAAATCGATCTACCCCCACCACCAGCCACCACCCCACAACCACTTAAACCACCCACCCACCATCACACCTGATTAGGGGATTTTTATCCACCAAGCGCCGTTTGACAAGTGGACCAACCAGGTTCCGCCACGCGTCCTCCACGGACCACTTAAGACACGCCACGTGTCCACCCATGCCAAATGGGACAACCGGCCATTAAGGCCCATTTCAGTCTAGAAGCCCGATCGGCCCTAGGTTTACCTTAAACCTAGAGAGTTGCACGCTTCCCAAGGCTATAAATACTCGATTAATCCTCATTAATCAAGGGACCGACTAATTGACAGAACACACTAATAACCGGCTGATCTCGCTAGCAAAGCAGATTACCTACATTAAATACTCTCACCTAGAGAGACCTTATTACTTTAATTTCTGTATTAATTACTCCTTAATCAGGTACTAACTTGACCGTTGGAGGCGGAGCTCTCAGGAGTCTCCGTTATTTTGCAGGTACAGGCGTCCGGTTCCAGTCTCGGAATTGTAACTCTCCCGCAGGACATCAGAAAACCCCGAAACATTTGGCGCCGTCTGTGGGGAGAGTACTTCAGAGATGGCATCCAAGTCTGTACCGACCCCAGAAGAGAGGCGTCCCCTAGACGACCCTCAAGTTCAGTCGGACCATGATACCGAAAGTGAATTTGAAGTTGAAACTCATACAGCTCCAGACGGGACCCTAAGGGCCCGCCGTACCCGTCATACTGAAATAAGGGAACGGGAGTATCTTCAAACAGGAAGCGAGCCAGCAGGCGCACCGCTTGCTCGGCAACAGCCGACTGATGGGTCTGCTCCCATCACAAGGAACGAACTCATGACCTTCATGAGGGGATTCAAGGGAGAGATCCAAGAGTTGATCAACAAAAAACCGCCTGCTTCAGTCAAAGAGCAGGCGGCCAAAAAAACCTTCCACTTCACTGAAGAGGAAGCCAGTTCAAGGGCGAGAGGCGACTCCCCATCCTAAATCTAAGAAGCGGGAGCCGTCTGCTCTTGATTTCACAAAACTCTGTTATCCTACGGGAAATAGGAAACCGGTTCGTCATATTCAGGCGGACGGGTCAAAGCAAACGTTCACAGATGCTCGGCACCTGCTAGAGCAGAAGAGGAGTGACCGATTATCAGAGTCGGCTTCTACTTCAAATTTTCAGGACAGTTTGCGAAATGCCTCGATGAGGCCAACTCAGTCGTACCATGAGAGTCAGTCAGGCGGCACCTCCCGACAGTCTGGCTTTCATAGTGCGCAGGCGGTACCAAATTTGCCATTTGTGCCGCAACAACAATATTTTATGCAGCCACCTCCATTTGGTGGACCTGCAGCAAAAAACGTCCAACCTATGGACTGGCAGCTACGGCTGCTTAGACTTGGTGAACAGCCGTCGGCCTTCTCCAAGGAAATTACTGAAGCCGCTCAGCCGGCCAAAGTAAAAAATGTTTTAGTAGGCGCCTATGATGGCACTACTAACCCGGAAGACCATCTGATGGCATTCACCAACCTGATGTACCTTCAAGGGTTGGATGATCCCACTTGGTGCAAGTGTTTCCCAGCAACTCTCAAGGGAATTGCACAGCAATGGTTCGGCAACCTGCCGACTGGTTGTGTAAACAGTT